CCATATCTCAAGCCACAACCTTCCTAATTAGTTCCCACTTACATACTCCTGCCCTTGCAAGGTTCACAATAGTCCCAGTACCCACATTCCAACTGCCTTCTTTTCTGAATTCCTTACTGGTTCCTCTCTTACTTCCAGCTAGCAATCTGGAAGAGTTGGTCTGCCCAGGCTCTAAATGCCTTATGGTCTCCCTCTCCTTGGTCCATGCTTCCAGAGCACAAGTTCTTTTCCTCTAGTGGTGGGCTGGCGGTTCAGCTGATATATTCCCCCACTTAAGAACCTGATCGCTTGGTTCTCCGATCTCGGTCTCTGGTTCCAAATTCAGTCTTCTTGTAGCACTGTTAAAGATCATTGCTACTTCCCAACTCAGGACTTGCCAAACAAGTTTTCAGTTATTCTGGTTCCTTAGATTTATTGCACCAAAGCTCTCATTCAAGATGGTGTGACCAAGGTTACAGATTAGAATCTAACTGATAGTGATAGCTGTTAACTGTATCACAGAACTATTTTTCAAAAATATCATATGTAGGATTCGAACTCTAGACCTGCCATTTGGGGTGTGACAACTCCACCACTTCACTAAGTCACTATACTCTTTATTTATTTTACTTATAATTTTACTTATAATTTTACTTACTTTATATTTATTAAAATTTATTTAAAATTTAGATATATAGGCAAAAGAAACTTTTCAACACATTTTTTTTGTAGCTGATGCTTATTATAAAAAAATGAGTAAAAAGCCAATAGAAAGAACAATGCTAATATTTCAAATGAGAAGTTATTAATCTTAAGTTTCACTATTTGATAAATTATTTGACAATAATGAATCTTCTTTAATCTAGTAGTCTTTACTTGAAGATAATTTTTTAAAAAATGAAGATCATATTTGTCAATTAGCTTGTAAGCTATTTCTATAACACTACATATAGCTGGATATGAAAGAATTTGGTAAACATTGGGGTAGTATTATAACAAACACTATACACATCTTTCTTTAGACAAAATTGAAAACATGCAAAAGCTTTTTGCTTTTTATTATACAATTCAAAAAATAAATTGCCTTATTTTTCTTCTAATATTGAAGACTTACATGAAGTATTATCTGATATAAACTTTCTTGATGATGATAATTATGATAAGGATCCTATTAATGAAAAAAGAACTGTGAATGAAAGGTTCAGTAATGATGAGGATAATTCTATCTTACTAGAAGAACATGTGCTCAAAATTGAAAAATTATTGAATTTTAATTCAACTAGTTTTATAGATAATTTAGATGAAATAATTGTTGATACTAATTTTAATTTTCTGAAGAAGAATATATTGTTTAGAATAATAATATTAAGAATAGTGAAGAGGAAGAGGAGGATTGAAATATTAAAAAAGTGATTGATGCAATATTAAAATAATATAGTTTAATAATGTAAATGTTTTCTAGCATATAGCCACTAAAACTATTGAAGATTGGGATTAATAAAGTGATTTAGCATTTTGATATTAATCTTTTATATACTTAGACAAAATCTAAAACTAATCATAATCAATATATAGATTTAATTGTTCAATTTTATTGCTTATATTATTGCTATCGATTAAGAGAGAGAAATATGTAATAGTTAGTTAGTTTAGTACTTAAACTTATATTAATAACTTGTCAAATATTATGACTTATAAATATGACTAATATAATTAATTAA